CTTCCTGTCATCGCTGTGGCCTGAGCATGTGCTTGGGTTCATGAGGGAGACCTGGGAGTGGGGCTCAGGCTTGCAAAGCAGCGCAAGTCAGTGTGATTACCCCAAGGAAATAAGAGGTGTCCTGTAGGGAACCTGGGTCTGGCACTGTTTGGCTGAAGTGTCATGGGGGGAGCCTGCAGCATGCGAGACCAGCTTGGCAATAGCAGTGAAAAGGATGGGGAAACCAATAAGGAACCACGGGAAAACAGATGTTTAAATCCTACACAGTTGCAGTGATATTTTGTGGTGTGTTTTTGGTTAACAGGATCTATAGCAAACACAGTAGTAGTATTAACAGCAGTATACCTGCATTGGTTTTGGTTGTCTTTGCTAGCTGAACACATTTTTTACTTGCCACAGGTGAGTGCTGTTTAGGCCTCTTTTAAATAAGAGGAAGTTTATTGTCATGATAACTATTAACTTTAGAAATCTAGGATAAATTTGAAGTACCTTAAAAAATTCTTCCTAAATATCAGTGTTGAACTTGTACTTTTGAAACTTAACAATCTATTTTAGCACTGCAATGTCGAAGAATATTAAGATGGAAGGCAGTAATGATTATTGAAAGCTGTGAATTTGATTTAAGGAAAACATAGCTATGTTTTTTATTTTAAAATAGGAGCTTTACAGATTTTCTTTTGAAACTGATTATAGTGAGTGTTGAAGCTGAGTGATAGGTGCCTGGAGTTTCTCATTACTTTATTCTGTTTAATTTAAATATGTTTATTTATATTCTCTGCAAGAGGAAGCTGTACAGAAATTGAAGTAGGTAATTGCTGAAAACCTCAGAATCTGCTGGACCAAATGTTCTCATTCTATTTGTGGAATAGATTTAAAGCTGTCTGTTAGGTGGTTATTCAAACTTGACATAGAACTTAGTCATTTTTGTTTTTATTTTCCCCAATGATTTATTTATTCATTTGAAAGGCAGAGTTAGGGAGAAAGAGATCTTCCATCCACTGGTTCACTCCCTAGATAGCCATAGTGACCGGAACTGGGCCGGTCCAAAGCTAGGAGCTTCTTCTGTGTCTCCCACGTGAATGCAGGGACCCAGGCACTTGGGCTCTCTTCTGTTACTTTCCCATGTACGTTAACAGAGTTGGATTGGAAGTGGAGCAGACAGGATTCAAACTGGCCCCTGTACAAGATGCTAGCATTGCAGGCATTGGGTTTAACCTGCTATGCCATGCTGCCAGCCTCAACCTACCCATTTTCAAAATGTATATTTGATTCTATCCATGGGAACTTTTGCAGTATGATAGTGGGATGGCAAGCATTTTACCATATATTACTTGTGTTGGTGTGGATGTTTAAAAAGGTTAATAAGTCCAAATGCCTATAGTTAATGCTCAGGACAGGCTAATTAGTCTTTTCTTTAGATTATTGGTTCGCAACTAGGACAGTTTTCTCTCAAGGGTATTGGTGGTTTCAGACATTTCTGGTTGTCACAACTTACGATGGGAGAATGACACAGGTACAATTTCTCTGGATGCTTCTGTGTGTCCTACAGTGCTCAATACAACCCCTGACACCAAAAAACTGTTGGGCCCAAAATGTCCACTGAAATCCCAGTTTGCTCTAAACTTGGAATTCTGTTGTGGTTGGTCAGGCTTTCATTCTTACGGATTCATTTCTGAATAAGTTAAAGACGTTTCTGAAAACTGAGGGCAGTAAAAACTTTTACAAAAAGATTATGTTCTCAGTTTTTTTATTGATCTGACAAAGACCAGTTATATAAAACAAAGTTATCTTTTTTTTTTTTTTTTTTTGACAGGCAGAGTGGACAGTGAGAGAGAGAGACAGAGAGAAAGGTCTTCCTTTTGCCGTTGGTTCACCCTCCAATGGTCGCCATGGCCGGCGCACTGCACTGATCCGAAGCCAGGAGCCAGGTGCTTCTCCTGGTCTCCCATGGGGTGCAGGGCCCAAGCACTTGGGCCATCCTCCACTGCACTCCCTGGCCACAGCAGAGAGCTGGCCTGTAAGAGTGGCAACCGAGACAGAATCCAGCACCCCGAGGGGGACTAGAACCTGGTGTGCCGGCGCCGCAAGGCCGGAGGATTAGCCTAGTGAGCCTCGACACCGGCCCAAAGTTATCATTTTTATGGCCTTTTTTAGTTTAAATGCAGCTGGTAAAAATATGGGGTAATATGATTAATTTTCATTTTCATGAATTTAAAATTTAAGTAAATTTTAGTATCACTAATATGCAAGCCTCTTTTTTCTGTTGCAGCTCCTATAAACAGTTGGAAAGGAAAGATAATCTCATAATTTACCTATTAAGCACAGGAAAAGCACAGATTTTTCTTAAAAAAAAAACTTAAAAGATAAGGTTACTACTTTGGTCAGTTTTTAATTAGATGCTTCATTTAGAGATTTATTCTGGATCGTAGATTCTATTGCTTTTAAAATCTCTTGGTTGTAGAGAATTAAGAGATTTTAAATTGGATTTGAGTTTACTTTGGGTAGATGAGAAGGACAAATGATCAATTTTTGTATTTATTGAAGTGGTATTTACTAAATGACATGATGCTTACCGTTTCTTTTCATTGTTGCTATCTACTTTTCTGAGAAAGGAAAATAGAAGACTGAGGAATTAGCTAAACACAAAAACAAAAACGTCTCTTGCTGCTTGCACCAGGAATGTTGGTAAAAGATGGGAAGAATTTTAATGAAGTGTTTTTTAAACTTTTTGACTGCAATCCATGGGGGAAAAGTATTTTCCATTTGTACCTAGTAAATAATTCATAGGTGTAGACATAAAAAAATTCTTCAAAAAGTTCATGGAAAGTGGAATTAAAAGATAAGTCTATTGTAATGCAAAAAATTTTTGAAGTCCATAGTTTTTTCATAATTTTTCATTTTAACCCATTTATGCATGGATTTTACATCTTTTGTACCAAAATAAACATTTTAATTGTTTTGAAAAATTACTTATTTATTTGAAAGGCACGGTTATTGCACCAAAATAAATGTCTTTTAATTCTTTTTTTTTTTTTTAAGGTTTTCTTATTTGAAAGGCAGTTACAGAGAGAGAGGAAGAGGGAGAGAGAGAGGTCTTCCATTGGCTGGTTCACTTCCAAATGGCTGCAGTGGCTGGGACTGCACCAGGCCCAAGCCAGGAGCCAGAAATTCTAGCTGGATCTCCCACACAGGTGGCAGGGCCCACGTGCTCAGGCCATCTGCTGCTGCTTCCCCAGGCACATTAGCAGGGAGCTGGATTGGAAATGGAGCAGCTGGGACTTGAACTGATGCCAGTATGGATAAACCAAGGTCATTGGCAGCAGCTTAACTCCTTCAGCCACAACACCAGCCCCATATCTTTTTAATTCTGTTATCTTTCACACTTTGTGAAGGACTTCTGTGACAAACATGCTTTTGGAATGGTACTTACCTTACTGTGGTACATTCAATGTGATGTTTCTGTCTTATTTCACTTGAAATAATGAATGTTTACATGCCACTAAATTGCAAATTTCAGTTTTGAAAAATGTTTTTTAGTGTGTTAATTACCTGCATATGTGGAGAACTTCACTGTGTTTTGAAGACTGTGAGTAAAAACACAGTGTCATTCTATTGTAAATTATGTGCTATGTGAGCATTTAATAAATAGAAATTAATGAAATATTTGTTTAGTAATATTTTGTCACTAATAACTCATTTTTGATGCTGTATTTAATTTTTAGCTCTCCCATTTCTTACATAAAAAATTTAAATAGTAACTGAAATTATACTAATTATTTTTAAAATGTAACCAGATTAGTCATTGGGGTCCTCATAATCATAGTCTGTTAAATTTTTTAAAATATATTTATTTTTATCTGCTTGAAAGGCAGAGAGAGAGAGAGAGAGAAAATGAATGAATCTTTCATTTACTGATTCACTCCCCAAGTACTTGGAAGAGCCATGAGTCTGGAACTTCATCCAGGTCTTCAGACTGGGTGGTAGGGGCCCAAGCACTGGAACTACCATTTGCTGCCCGCCAAAATGCACCAGCAGGAAGTTGGTTGAGAAGTGGAAGAGTAGGGACTCGAACTGGCACTCCGAAATAGTTGTGGGGCCCAAAAATAGCTGTGCCATATGGCTACCCTCCCTTCTCCCCCAGTTTAATGTAGAGGAAGGATTACATGCTTTAACCTGGAAGTTGGCAGTTTTTTCCTATAAAGGGACAAGCTAATGAATGCTAAGGCTTTGTGGTTCATAAAGTCTTGTTGGGACTGCTCCTGTCTGATCTTGTAGCCAGCCATGGGGGAGTAAGCAAGTTATTTACGTCAGCGTGACTATTCCAATATTTACTTAGGGAAACTGAATTTTGAGATTCCTTTTTAAAACAATCATTTAAAATTATTCTGTTTTCTCTTACTTGAGAAACAAAGTTAGACTTTCCATCCACTAGTTCATTTTCCAAATATGCTCAACAGCCAGGGCTGTGCTAGGCCAAAGCCAGTGACCCCAGACTCCACTGGGATATGCTGTGTAGGTGGCAGGGCCTGAAGCGCCTGAGCCATCATCTGGCCCCCAGAGTGTCTGCTAGTAGAAAGCTGAACTTGGGAGACAGGACTCGAAAGCAGGCACTGCAGTCTAGGATGCATGTGTCCCAAGCAGTGTCTTAGCTGCTGTGCCAAATGCCTGACCCTGAAATTGGATTTTCATGTAATTTTCACGTCACCACATTATTTTTCTTTTGATATATTTTTTTTCCATCAAACATTAAAAAAACACAAACACTACTTTTAGCTTGTGGGATATTAAAAATCAGTTGGTGGTCAGATTTGGCCTGTGGTCTGTGGTTTTCCAACCCTTGCATTAGCCAAAAAATGGATAAAGTCAGTAGTTAAGAAAAGAGAAAATTTAACTTGCATAGTTGAGAATAGAAGCAAGCAATGTTAAATTTGGGGGTATTTATGAGTTTTTCTAGTTATCAGCCCTATACATTTTCTGGTTGTGTTTTTTGTATTTTACAGACAGTTGATATTCATAAAGAGAAAGTTGCAAGAAGAGAAATTGGAATTTTGACTACCAATAAAAACACTTCAAGGACACATAAGATTATTGCTCCAGCCAACCTTGAACGGCCAGTTCGTTATATTAGAAAACCTATTGACTATACAATTCTAGATGACATTGGACATGGAGTAAAGGTAGGTATGATTTTTGTCAAGCTTTTTAAAATAGTAGCCCATACTGGAACTAACTCTTTAAGCTTTTATCTCTCCTTTCCTAGAGAACCAAGTCTTGACTCAGTTGTGGTTGTGAAGATTGCTTGCTGTTAATAACTCTTTTATCTTTCCTTTTTTTTTCTTAGTGCTGTACTCTCAAGTTTTAAACAGTCACCTTTGAATTGCATCTGCTTCATTATATTGCCAAATATATATTGAGTTTATGTGGTATAATCTTCTAATGATTATTGACTGATTAAAAATTACTCAACCTGTTAATAAAGTGATTATCTCATTTCAGTTTATCAGCAGACTTGGCATTAGTTTTCAGAAAAAAGATATATTAATAAATATGTACTTTGAATTTTTATAAAATTATTTTATCAGTATTTTGTATGAGAGTAGTATAGCTACCCAGCACTTTTGAGTATGTGGACATTATACATTTTGGCTGTGTTTTAAGATGTATTTGAGTGTCTGGTGTATGTATTATAATTAGTACTGAGAAACGCGAATTTCATTTTAATTGGTATTTATATTTAAACTGTTCAGATCTTCGGATAAATATTAGGTTGTTTGAAGTTTACATCTGCTGATTTGAAGGACAGTGACTTATCAAATGTGACTTTGAATAAATACATGTAAATGCCTGTCATGAAACTTTACAGTTCAAACAGTTATTTTTTTCTAATATAAGTGTAGTTAAATAAAACACCTACACCATAATGGCTGGAAATAAAATAAATCTAAATTTAATTTATATCTGACTGAAAAAACATATAATATAAATTCATTTTTAAAATCTTTTTCTCCCTCAGAGTTTAGATATAGCCATTATTATCTGGAATTTTGTATTTAATTTTATAATTGATACCTAAATGCATTCAGATTATTATCCTAACTAGAGCATGTTGAAAAAGGATGTTTAATTGGATGGTTAATTAATGGCTGGGATTTATTCTAACTTGGGAAAATTTATTCAAGGCTAACAACTGCTAATAGAGTGTTAGGGTACTGCCAGAATCTAATGCCAAGAGACAGTTTTGTGGTATAGACATCACAGTTGTGCTTGCCTGCTTCTACAGTCAGAAGATGATTCTCCTCCCTCTTTGTTTGATTCTCACAGTCAATGTTACTCTTTTAGGACTCTGTAGTCCTTTCATTGTTTGGAGTCACTAATGTGAAGAAGTCTTTAGTAAAACTAAGCTTTTGAATAAAAGAGTATCTTAAATAATTTCATCCAGGAAACTCCTGTTCATGACACATTCTGCTTTAACCACTCTTTCTATGATCTACTGAAACATTATTTTGTTAATGCTGAATGCTTAACTTGTTTTTTCGTTTTTTTTCCTTTCTCTTCACATCCTGAAGTTCCAACTAACCTTTCAATGCTTTTTTTCCTTACCTCTTTTATTTGCTCCATTTATGCATTAAGTGGTTGCTTAGATTTAAGGTAAGAGATTCCAGGGCTGGATTTCCATTCTTTGTTCTTATGTGGAATATTACATACGGGGAGTCATGAGATATTTGGCACTTGGCCTAAAACCAACAAGTAATTCCTCTTCTTTACTGTACTTTTTTTGTCTTCCAAGTTTGCGATGTGTCTTCATGTACCTTGAAGGCAGATGTTTTTGTCTGTTTTGTTCACTACTCTATCCTTTGTGCCTAAAACAGTGTCTGACATGCATTAAATACTTTGTAAATATTTGTTGAGTGAATGGTCATTTTGCAATGGTGTTACATTTTGTGAAGCAGAAATGTAATCTATCCTATCGTAAAATGTTGTATTGGAATAAAATAGCTGGATTTTTGTAACTAGAGAAATTTTGTTTTGGAATGGAGGTCTGGATAATGTGCCTCACTAAATCCTCCCCCTGTGTAATAACCTTTTTATTCTATAAATGGTATGCTTTATTATATACCTTATGGACAATATTTCATTTTCTTTTGATTCTTAAGAAATTGAGAAGCTGAAAGCATTCAGTTTGCTCTTTGAAAGTTGCAGTATCATGTATTTTGACAAAAAATTAGTTTTTTAAAAATATCTATATAAAATATTTTCAGTATAAATTTCTTTTTAAGAGTTTTTAAGGGTAAGTTTAATATATGTGAAACAGCAAAAGTTTGATAGTGTTTAACAAAATTAAAAATTACGGATGAATTTGTTCCTGTAACTGTACTTTGGAGGATGAATGGTAGAAGAAACTCAGCTATGTATTTCTTTAAACTTAAAATTTTTATTTTGAAGGCAGAGAAGGACCATCCTCTGGTTCACTTCCCAAATGCCTGCAATAGCGGGGCTGGGCCGGGCCAAAGCCGGGAGCCAGGACCTCAGTCTAGATCTCCCTCAACTGGGAACAGGGACCCAAATACATGAGGCGACACTGTTCTTTCCTGGGTACACATTAGCAGGAAGCTGGAAGTGGAAGTTGAGGTGGGACATGAACCCATGATAATAGAATGTGGGAGTCCTAAATGGCAGCTTTAGTGCTGTGCCAACTGCCTGTCCCTCAAATAGATTATTAAAATTACTGTCACCAAATTTAGCATGGTTTTTCCTTTGTTCTTTTTTTTTTTTTGAGATATTTGACTAGTTTGCATTGGACTAGTATTTTTTAAAAAAATTGAAAATTAAAAAAAGATTTATTAACTTATTAAAAAATTTTTTGAGGGGCTGGTGCTGTGGTATAGCAGGTTAAAGCTCTGGCCTGCAGTACCAGAATCCCATATGGGCACCAGTTCAAGTCCTGGCGGTTCCACTTCTCATCCTGCTACCTGTTAATGAGCCTGGGAAAGCAGTGGAGGATGGCCCAAGTTCTTGGGCCCCAGCACCCATGTGAGAGACCTGGAATAAGCTCCTGGCTCCTGGTTTTGGATTAGCTCAGCTCCAGCCCTTGGCAGCCATTTGGGGAGTGAACCAGCAGATGGAAGACTTCTTTGTGTCTCTTCTTCTTTTCTGTAATTCTGTCTTTCAAATAAATAAAATCTTAAAATCGTCTTGAAAGTAGATTAGATAGATAGATGATAGATTTGTCTTCCATCTGCTGGTTTACTCCCTAAATACTTAAATAGCCGGGATAGGGCCAGCTGAAGCCAGGAGCTGGGAACTCAGTCTGGGTCTTGCATATGCATGGCAGGAAACCAGGTAATTGAATCAACACTGCTCCTTCCTAGGGTGCACGTTAGCAGGCAGCTGGAATTGGAAGGAGAGAGCAAACTCGAACCCAATCTGATTTGTGATGCAATCATCCTAAACAACATTTTAACTACTGTGCCTAATGCCTGCCCTGTTCTTTTTTCCTTAGCTGTATTTTATAATTTCATTTCAAATATGTTATTTCTGTCTGAAACCCTGTTGTTTGCCCTATATTCAGTGTAGAAATGATAACATGGTGTCAAGATGACTGAGTTCTGAATCACTAAATCATACTCACCATGGCCACAGAAATTTCACCTGTTCATGCATGATAGATTTGACCAGAGATCAGGCCAGTGTACTACTTGTGTTATTTGTTGGCTCCAAACTCTCAGTTGTGGTAAGGTATGTAGAATTTTGGGGAAATTCTTTTGCTTAAAATAGGGTTACAGTGATCTAGACTTGGAAACAAGCTCTTCCCTTTTCCTCTGAAGTCTGTGTTCAAATTTCGGCAATTGCCATGTTAATCTCCAAAGTGATTGAAGTAGTTGCCCAAGCTACTATTCTATGTTGATTTCATCCAGACCTCGCTATGACTCCTTTTTTTTTTTTTTTTTTTTTAAGATTTATTTTATTTATTTGAAAGAGTTACAGAGAGAGGTCTTCCATCCAATGATTCACTCCCCATATGGCCGCAATGGTCGGAGCTGTACCGATCTGAAGCCAGGAGCCAGGAACTTCTTCCTGGTCTCCCACATGGGTGCAGGGGCCAAGGACTTGGGCCATCCTCTACTGCTTTCCCGGGCGATAGCAGAGAGCTAGATTGGAAGAGGAGCAGCCAGGACTAGAACCGGCACCCATATGGGATGCCAGCGCTTCAAGCCAGGGCTTTAACCCACTGCGCCACAGCGCTGGCCCCTGTGCTTCCTTCTTGACCTTCCTGGGTTTAGAGGCTGTGCCCATGTAGGAGATGGGCCAAACTGAGGAGCTGATGGAAAGGTCTAATAAGGAATCACACTTAGGTAAGATCCCTTAGCATATTTTCTCTGCACCACAAGGTGCCACTTTTTTTTGTTTGTTTGTTTTAATAATTTACTTATTTATTTGAAAGAGTTACTGAGAGAGACAGATCTTCCATCTGCTGATTCACTGCCCAAACGGCTGCAATGGTTGAGGGCTGGCCAGGCCAAAGCCAGGAGCTACTTCAGGTCTCCCACGTGAGTGGGAGAGATCCAGGGACTTGGGCCATCTTCTTTTGCTGTTCCTAGGCCGTCAGCATGGAGCTGGATTGGAAGCAGAGCAGGTGGGACTTGAATTGACACCCAGGTGGGATGCTGGTGCTGCAGGCAGCAGCTTAGCTTCCTACACCACAGCTTGGGCCCTGGTCCGCTTCTAAGTACGAGAAGTATTATGCAAGTGTTGCCATGTGTCAGGGTACAGTTGGCAAGGAAAGGAGAGCACTCTAGTTCAGCTTGGGAACTGGAATGTTGTGAATATGTCAGTCTTTCCTATAAACCTGTAGCATATAGTTTATAATTTTGAGTGAACCCAAAGCAGTAAAAAGTAAAAATGGGGAAACAATTCAGTAATTAGCAGATTATTACTCTTGTAATAATGCTTCTGATAAATGTTAAATTAGTGTTTTTGGAAGGATGATTAATGGAATAATCGAATATGTTCTGGTTGGAAGGGACAACAAACACAAACCGGCCCAGTGGTTTTCCAGCTGAGCTTTTTGGAGACTTATAGGTTTTATCAAGTGCCCTGAAAATCTACTGGTGGTTGATAGGATTACAGATTCTTTATCCTCATTTTAATTAGGGTGGCTGTTTAAGCAGAACTTTAAAATTTGTTTAAAATCTAGACCTTTTTTCCCTTTTCCTTCTCTTAGTTGTTTATGAGATCTCTCTTTCTTCCTATTGATGTCAGACTTAATGCTTTTCAGTCAGACTCCAATAAAACCATCATACTTTGGGACCAGACACATGAGATTTGACTCACAAGAGACTTCCTTGACTAAAAGTTGAATTATTTATTTATAATTAAGTGAACTTAAAGACAGACAGACAGACATAGACACAGCTCCTGTCTACTGTCACTCTCCAAATTCCCACAGTAGCTGAGACTGGGCTAAGGCCAGAGCAAGATGCTGGGATATAGTCCAGCTTTCTTCCATCTATTTTTCCCCCTTTTAACTTTTTATTTAAGATATACAAATTTCATGTATTTCATAAATACAAATTTAGGAACATAGTGATTTTTCCCACCCACAGTCCAACTCTTTTTATTCCTCCCTCTCCTATTCCCATTCTTACCTTTTATTAAGACATGTTTTTAATAATTTTATACACATCAGATTAGCCCTATACTAAGTAAAGAGTTCAACATAGTATGAAAAAAAAAAACTGTTCCTCAACCATTGAAACAAGGGCTATTCAAAGTCATTGCATCTCAGAGTGCTTCTATAGATTACCTTTTAGGTGCTCTATTAGTTATGGTATCTGTCCTTTTGAGACTGGCTTATTTCACCAACTGTGTTTTCCAGTTGCATCCATTTTGTTGCAGATGACAGGATTTCATTTTTTTTCTCAACTTCTGTGTACTATCCCATGGTGTACATATCCCATAATTCCTTTATCCAGTCTAAAGTTGAGAGAGGTTTGGGTTGATTCCATGTCTCATCTATTGTGAATTGAGCTGCAATGAACATGGGGGTACAGATAATTATTTCAAATGCTGATTTCATTTCCCTTGGGTAAATTCCCTGGCGTAGGATGGCTGGGTCATTATGGTAGGTCTATACTCAGATTTCTAAGGTATCTCCATACTGTTCCACAGTGGCTGCACCAGTTTACATTCCCACCAACAGTGGATTAAGGTATCTTTTTCCCCACATCCTTGCCAGCATTTGATGTTTGTTGATTTCTCTAAGAAAGCCATTCATAACTGAGGTGAGATGAAACCTCATTGTAGTTTTGACATGCATTTCCCTGACGGCTAGTGATCCTGAGCATTTTTTCATGTATCTGTTGGCTATTTGGGTTTCCTCTTTTGAAAAATTCCTGTTTAAGTCCTTTGCCCATTTATTAACCAGATTGTTTATTTTGTTTTTGTTGAGTTTCTTGATCTCTTTGTATATTCTGGATATTAATCCTTTATCAGTTGCACAGTATTCAAATAATTACTCCCATTCTGTTGGTTGCCTTTTCACTTTTCTGAGTGTTTCCATTCCAGTACAGAAGCTTCTTGATTTGATGTAATCCCATTTGTCAATTTTGGCTTTGATTGCCTGTGCCTCTGGGGTATTTTCCAAGAAA